TTTTTTTCGAATGTAAGAAAGTCTCAAGTTTCATGGTATCTATATATAGGAAGCAAGAGGAAAACATCGCCAGAAATCAAGGACATTTCGAGAACGTTGACAATTATCAGCGGTATATCGTATTACACTCCGGAACAATAGAGTATCAAGAGAATTCAATATGGCGGCGATCACGGCTCGATCTGCAAAGAAGAGTGTTTCGTACCATGACTTATACAATTTGAGCACCGCAGATCTTCTATTTGATGAAAAGAAAAAGAAAAGAAGACCTGCAAGTAAATCTTTGGGATTTTTCGAGGCAGAGCGTTGACATGATGTCCGAATTTTGATTTGCTTTAATTTAATTTTCGCGCTAAGACCACTGAATTTGCATTCAATTCCTGGCATATTTTTATTCCGAAAAGGACCTGAGAACTAATTTATTTCCCTGCAAGATCATAAACAAATAGGGCCGACGATTCGAATCGATTCAGATCTATTTCAGTCATAGTTTTCAACATGGCGTCTCGTCACTTACTCAACATGGAAAATAGGGGATATTCTGGCGCGTTGGGAAGTTTTTTGATGGGAGGAAATGGCAATTTTGCAGGATATTTGGACGCTTCGAACTCTGTAGCAGTCAATTCGATCGAGAGCAGTTGACTTTATTGATGCACTTTCCTGTAATAGGCGAGTGTTTGGGATGGAGAACGACGGATTTTGAAGAACTGTATGGCGACCTAGGTCAATGATCAATGACAAAAGAACTGGCTCGGGAAGTAAGTGGTTTTTATTTATCGAGTCCCTGTGAGGTTTGATGAATACTGTCTCGATCGAGAGCAAACGGGACCATGAGCTCCTGATTGTTATATTTTAGAAATTTTACAAATTTCCATACAGTTTCTTATATTATTTGGACGCCATTATGGACGAAATTCGCAAGCGCGGCCGCCATCTTGTCTAATATTTCTGCCGATGATGACCAAGAGATATTTCGGGACGACAGTTTTATTCAAAACAATTCTTGATTTGCTGTTATAAGCGAAAAACGTTCGAGTTTCTTACGTGCACAAAACCCACGCCGTAAAATTCATCATGCTTAGATCGTTGTTTCGTTGACTTCACGGCAAGAAATTGCGTAGCGTTATGATGAAAATTCTGAAAGTACTACAATTTGACGCAAAATCTTCTATTAAACAATACTTTTTGAACACGTAATATTTACCGACCAATGGAGTCGTCAAATTGTCGCTAGGCCCTGCTTGAATTTCGAAAGTTGGGTATTCGGTTTTCAACCACAATTCGCATCGCTTTAGAGAACCGTTGTGTCGTTGACTCGAGAGTTTGTTCTGTCACCTTTAAGACCTTGACGTCCATTATTTTCCAAACAGAGTATTCTGTAGCATTCCTACTTTATATGCTGAGTTCCACAAGGTCTAACTCGATCGCAAAGGAACGAAAAATCCGACTTAAATATTTTGAAGGTCGGCCGTTTCATTTTCAAATATTTGATCATTTAGAGTGAACTCATAGAATAATGCCCTTTTAATACCCCTAAAGCCATCAACATACTTTTGCAAACGAAGAATTCTGATTGGTTTTTTTTATCTCCTAACGATAGAGGAAGTTTGGGGACAAAAATTCTACTTAGTAAGGGAGGTAGGGGCAGTTACGGGTGGTTCAGGTGTCAATGTGTTAGCATATTATATTTATACTAATAATATATTTGTTTCGTTCATCGCGGAGCTTGCATTTTTGGTTGCACTATATCTTGAGTTGTGAGTAATTTCTAGTGTCGTTTCAGGGCGGTTAAATATGGTATTCTAAGTAATAACAGGTGCAGTAAGCTATATGCAGTCATCGACTGCCTATTTTATGTGAAGTTTACAGTACGTGTCAAGCTACATGAGGTAAGCGATCATCTCGTAACACAAATTTTACGAGAATGCGTAACCAGTGAAGTGGCGTAACCACTTGGATATTTAGTCATGAGATCTGTCGTGTTAAGGCGGATATCCTTATTTGGTTAGCAAAACTCCTGAGGCAAACAAAGGAATATTCGGAATCGAAGAAGAAAAAGTTGTAGAAGACAATGTGCTTTGTCAACTGTCGCGTTTTAAGGGGGGACTGAGGTGGCGAGGAAAGTTTATCATTTGGCAAGTAAACCAAACTTTTCTAAGATACTCATACCTGCTCTCGCCTTTATAACTGATCTTTTGTAGTTTGTTAATCGTCACTTTGTTGTTAATCGACACGCGGTCAGCGCCGGCTATAAGGTTAGTATAGAGTTAACAGATTTTACGACTTTATTTTCTGCACGAGGATCCACCCCCCAATTACCAAGACATTGTATAGTTTTGTATTTTCCTTTCGTTTTAACTTTTAGATTCTCTGAAGTCGTTTAATCTTAATTTCATTTTGTAAGCCTTTTATTGGAACGCCCCAAATATGCGCGAAAAGTCGTCGCAAATTGTACCTAAATTGTATCTATCTTTGTTTTACAGAACTAAATATTTGATGGAAATTCACATGTTGAAATCTGTGCGATTTATTCATATCAAAATGGGGTGACCGCCTAATAGAGCTGAAAATGATACAAAGGGGCAAACAAAACTCTCGGGACTTTGAAAACCGACCACTTGATACGGGGTGACCGCTTCATACAGTGCTGCTTAATACAGTTCGACTGTACGTTTTTGTCAGTTATCCACCAACAAGCAGAACTCTTGTTGCGATGGTTCCCTGTACAAGACTGCTTTTACTTAAATCTGACATCTGTAATTCATAACCTTTTTATTATCTGATGAGCCAGAGGTAAAAGAGGGAGGCCTAAAATGAGTTATCACAGGCTATATTCACAAACTGTTTTATCGTTTGAATCCAACTGGAATTAAGATAGACCTGTAAAAGCTGTGTCTTTTGCTTCAAATCAGTCACAAAGAAACGAACAGGATTGTTTGTATATTTGCTCCAAAAGTGTGCCAGTGTCAAAAACAACGTGTGTTACGTGCAAAAAATACTTGTTTCCCTACAGTAAAACAGTTAAGACCAGCCTTTTTATTTAATACTATCTCTCCAGCAGAAACACAGTGGATCAATTTGCATATTGAGAAAACTCGGAACTCAGTCTAATTGTTAAAAAGGCTATGAAAAACTTCTTTGAAAACTACTGCACTTTGGTACACCTATGAAACCACTGACATCCATTCAGCATACCTTCAAGGTAGACCTATAGCGCAGTACAGCAGTAAGCATGCAATTTCATCTTGCACTAGACAAACGTTTGCAGCGCGGACCGGCTTTTTCATAATAGAACCTTCCCTTATCTCGAATCGTAGGTCATTTTTGCTGCCATTAAATCTACAACATCACAAAAAAAAGCCCGAACGAAGCAATGAGTTGTAAAAAAGTATTGAGAAGCAGCCACAAATATCAAGAAAAGATAAAAACCAAGCGACTCTTTAGCGAACATGGCGGCAGAAAGAAGTCCTCAATAAGGCTGAGTCATGAAATAAACTAAGGGAACATTTATTAATCACAATGTATTTTGACAAATGTCAACTAAACAAGTTTTAAGTTTTTTCGAGACGACAATAATGCATGCTTATGATGTCAAACAAAACAGCTATTCGTTCACTAGAGTTGTTCATTAATTATAAAGTTTTCAGTGGGCGATCTATCGTTTACTTTTATTCATAGTTCTTGATTTATTAATTGCACTGAAGAAAGTTTTGTCGAAAAACCTGAATGAGTTTTGTTGCCCGTCAATAAACAGAAATCAATCCTGTATACTGGTTATCATTTTTAAGTCAATAAGAAAGCCTCAGTACGGCCTATAGTTTAAACTTGAATCGTGTTTTGAACCCGTTACGACAGTCAAGCGTTGTTCAAATAAATTAGATGCGAACATAGGCGTCGTGAAATGTCATATCCACGATAAACATGTTCCTACCCTCCAAAATTATTAAGGTATTAGATAATCGATAACCTTTGAGGGCCGCCTCACCATTTTTTAGGAAATAGCCAACATATTCGAGTTCATTTTATAAGATTGTGCCGAACTTTAGCACCTGTAGGGGTCACCTTGAATTGAATGAGTCAGACTGCACATGTTTAATAATAACAACAATAAAGATGATGATGATAATAATAATAATAATAATAATAACAATAATAGTAATAATAATAATAATCTGTCTTTGATAAATCAGAAACAACAAACGTGTAACTTTACAATATGTTAACAAGGAAATCATAAGTATAGTTAAGAATATGTCAAAATTGTAGCATTATAGCATCATGTACAAAAAGAGGCTCAAAACATTTGATTAATAGAGCTTTCATATATATAATTTCACAAAAAAAAGAATAGCTCTATGTAAAGGCTAATCCATGTTATTAGGGCGAAACATGCAAACGTAACGCACCAGAAGTTTCCAATTAATATTAAAAAAAAGAACGATTTAAATGTCTTCTGTCCACACTAAAAAGGATAACCGTGCGCTACCTTACGCATGCGCATAATAAGGGCCAAAAATTTTAACCTCGATACTATTGCTGTCGTTGGTGTATGCAATGATAATGGTGCTTTATTGCGTAATTAAAATCAAAATCATTAAAGTATCTCGCAGAGAATCAAAGTCTAAGTAAGCTCATTTTCATAACAAAAATTGAGCAAGTTATTTGTTATTTGATCCAAAGGAAGTCGGCAAAATAGCCAAATAGGGAGTGTGCAATATCTTTATCATGCGTTCGGAAGTTTGCATTTTGCAACTTTGCAACTTTTCAACCAGCGAGAACAACAATGATATTAAAAAACCGACACAAACATAAAAGGAGACGGTAAAACAGGCAAACTGTTTATGGCACGAGAAAACACGTCTTCACGGTGCGAATGGTTTTTGTTTTGCATCTCATCAGTTGATAGGAAAACCAAATCAAGACATTCCCGAGTTACTTTCCACACTCATTGGTAGGATAAAAAAAGAAAAGATGCGGGCACACATCAGATTATCAACAAAGAGTTTTCAAAGGTTGTTTTTAATGCAACATCCTTCACAATGTTCATAAATCATATCATGGATGTTTTCACTTCAGCACGATGGCTTAATTATCTTCACTGAGCCCTTGATGTGAGCTTTGAACTCGCGCCACTGAAACACGTTGCCCACCCCTGTCAGACACGACTTTGACATGCGTGCGATTTCTTGGTCTTTTATGACGTGATCCCAAATGTTGACACCTGTCATTTCACCGATGAAAGATTGATGGGCTTCAAATTTTCCCCCCTTTGAGTCTTGCTCCTGCCCTAGTACCAGGGATCCATTTGCACGAATCATGTGACCTGTGGGGACATTAACAGGAAATTAAGGAAAAAGATAAATTCACCAGTTAAAAAAGATTCAACTTTATCTTTTGCTTTGATTAAGATTAAGATCTCTGAAGGAAATGATAAAAAGCTGAAAAGTGAGTACATTCTTTCCTTTTTTTTAATTTTCCTAATCAATAATTTACCGAATAAGTGAGTCATGTTGCTCTATTTGTTCCAATCTCCGCATTACTCTTTGGGAACTACGCACTTTATCTTTAAGTGACTAACATAACGTACACTGTAGCATTTAAGTGATAAATTTCATAATCGTTTATCAAGTAATTTCACCATCACAGTCACGTGCATTTTTGTCAAGGTTTTTGCATGTTTTTCAAGTATTTCTTTTTTGGCATCAGTGATCATTACCTCGTCAGAGTTTGTCTGATATATTTTCCTTGTTTTGCGCATTTCTCGGTTTCTCGAGTATCCTTAGTCTTCTTTCGCCTTTTTCAGCTTCTTAGGGTGGTTTTTCTCAGCGTTACTTACAAATCACATATAGAGCATTCAGGAGGGAATTTTTCACTAATCGTTTCTTCTCCGCACAAGGCAGTTTAGTTCACAACGAAATTATTTGCGGTTAGTGTCCGCGACAATTTTACGCAGTTTCCTCTCAGGGAGATTCGTTTACGGTGTCCGTTAAAATGTAAATGCAAACCGGGTTTTTCGGAGTGAAATCAGAAACAGAGAACTGAAAAACTGAATTTACCATAGGTTTCAAGTAGCTGACAACATTCAACAGTCAACAGCAAACATTGGTTTAGGTAGCTTCTCTGAAGAAAACAACCTTTTAACTGACCGTGTTTAACGAAACAGCTTTAAGAGATGTTTAAGCTTTGTTTTTTATGGAGTACAAGTCTATCTTCGTCTATCTATAACTACTTTTAAGTCCACGTGAACTTTGTACTTCGTTTATTCAAATCAATCTTGTGGAATCCTGGCGGTTTTGTCATTTCGGCCGCCTCGTATTAGCAGTTACACACACTAAACATTAAATACTATTGTACGGACCATTACTAAAAGAAGAATTTACCTGTTTGGAGACTTTTACCAGAAGCGGCAACCGAACCATCTCGAAATAATTTCCATGATCCAGTGGTATTCTCCCATGTTAGGCAGATATGATGCCACTTTCCATCATTGGCGGATACAGAAGTATGACCACTAAAATTAGCAGCAAAACGCGAGAAGTGTACTTTGAGTATTTTAAAGCTTACAGCAACATTAAATCAAAATAACTGTTGTGATTAATAACAGGACAAAACTTCAGATGAAATACTCAAACCTCCCATGGTTGATGTAGATCCTAAATAGCCTATAGTCAGTCAGGAGAAGCTCGTTAGTTTCTCCAGATACAGCATAGCTCAGGAGTGTTCCTTCATTTCTAGTATCAGCGGTTTTCATCCACAGACAAACCGTTACAGCTGACAGGTTTGGCATGCCACGTGTGACGATGACGTAATCACTGGTTCCTCTCTGCGGAAATTGTAGAGCGTATCCTGCAACTGAAGAATTACTCAGTTTTTTTATTTGTCAACGCCGCTTTCTTCTCTGATTGTACCATGATTATTTTTACATCATAATAGTTGATAGGCTAGCTAGGGTGATGCGAGTTTCCATAGGAAGGTAAAGCAAAATCAAGCAATCCTACATTGCTTACAACACACAAGTGAAAATTATTTTAAAGATGCATACCTGGCATAGCCAATGCCTTTATCGTTTCAGACGTGTTCTTAAATTGCAAAGAGAGCTCTTCGATTGACTTAATCACGACATCCAGTTTCCTTACGACACTTTTGTTAAACGAGTGAGGACTTGTGTACCACGCCTCGATTGTCTTGTTAATGAGAGCCAGTCTTCCTGAAGAAATTGAGACATAAACAAAGATCTTTCAATAATAAATGTGTAGGACAAAAAACATTGATTCATGGTGTGAATTCGAAATGTCAAAAAAGAAAGTTTTTCAAACAAATTTCGATTCTTACGGAATCAAAATGAATTTCACAATGAGATTATCGCTGTTTCCAAGTATCATTTCCAAGTTACACTGCCCTGCGTGATTGTAATTTTCACATAATTTACAAAGTGGTATTGAAGGTTATCTGTGTAAGGAAAAGATATCTGGGATTTTCCATGAACTGAGATTTTGACACGCAAGTATATTTAAATGAAATTAAATCGAACTGTCAAATAAATCTTTTACACTTTTGAAAGTCTACTTTCAGGAAACAATGTCGGTGTTGATAGAAGGTTTGTGTGGAATACATTCGAAGAAATGAAGCCAAAGATCACTAAGTCATTCGCAAGCAAAGGTTAGATGCGATCGGATTGCGTTACATCACATCCTTGAACATACTTTAGATGCGTACTTTCCACTTGCATATTGGTAAAATTTTCGCGCTTCAAATTGGCGTTTTACATCGTTTTTATATGACCTCTTTTCTGTGGAACCTGTCTTACGTGGGCCCCCCCCCCCCCCCCCCCCCAGCCATTCTTCGTAGGTGACCACCTAATACAGGTTTAACTGTGTAGGAAAATGATATCACAAGGGAGGATTGGTGACTCAACGTGAACAGCCACAAGTAGGAGAAATGTTCATCATTGAGTCAGACTTGTTTTTCGTTTTGCATCTTCTTGTTTGAGAGAGAGGCCCAAGTTTCCTTCATAGACCAATCACAAACCGCAGTAAAGCAAAGCAATACAACCCAAGTTGAAAATCAATGTAAATATGCATACCTTTAATTTCCAAAGTAGTCGTCCTTTCAGACATGTTCATAACATTCACGTTTACTAAATCCAGTTTTCTTTCCATATTGGTGCCCAGGGAGTCGAGGCGTTTGGACAAAGCTTCAATGGCTTTGAAGATTGAGTCCTGGTTATCTGTAGATAATCGCGACAAAAAAAAGCTAAAATGACCGATCACACACCTAGGGGGTACAAAGAAAAATTGTGAAATTCCACCATCAAACCTTGTAGAAAAGGCTTCCGTTTCACTGCCTTCAGTTTCTTCAAAGACGTTAAATGAACAGTGAAATAAGAGTGCAGATGCACACGCATACACACGACTTAAAGTGCATACCTTGTATTTCCAAAGCAGTTGTCCTCTGAGATGCGTTCTTAACATATGCATTTACTAAATCCAGTTTTCTTCCCATATTTACGTCCAATGAGTCAAGACGTTTGGACAATGCTTCAAAAGCTTTGTACATTGAGTCCATCTTTTCTGTAGACAATCATGACAAATAGAAAAGGATTTTAAGACAAGCGATTACCCATTTAAGTGCCAAAGACAAAGGACAAACTGGGTTTCCCGGTGAGGATTCTAGCCCATCCTATTGCAGCCCAAATACTCCAGCAGCTGTAATGCAAACATTAAAGTTCTGTAAAGTTTTGTCAAATTATCCAGTTTTCCCAAAGACGAGTTAACACATCTGACTGATTTCTTAAAACAAGGAAGGCTGGTTTACCAACTTAGAGCAGGCACATCTATATAGATGACAACAACGACCTCCACACCAGCTATGACCTTTTCACCAATCAAAACCTCATTAAAGAAACACCACCACAAGTTCTAAATATACATACCTTGCATTTCCAAGACCGTTGTCCTTTGAGACGGCAAAGGGGGGAAGGGGGGGTTGGTAGCGGATGTGTTACATTGACTGATGCATGATAGTTGCGCAAGAACCGCATTAATTGGCGCGGGAATGCCCAAGTGAGTCAAAGAAGAGAAAATGCAGGTCATCGGCAAGACGTTTCAATCGCAAGAAGCTTAAAAATTCCTTTCCATAAGAAGCTGCAAGGGGTGATTAATGCAACTGTGAACTGCCAACAGCAATGAGAAGTTGTTTCGCAACATTTTGGTAACTTCCCAACTTATGCGTCACCAACGAGTGGTTGATCAGCGTAACAGATGCTGACCCAAACATTTCTATTGAGAATGGAGATAAGATATAGTCTCTGAGATAATGTGCGCGCAGTACAAGCCAATTTTTTGGTGCGTAAATTTCCAGGACTACCCGCTAAAATCTAAATGGAGAGAATGGCTAAAATGATTCGCTAATTTTACCATAGTTACTCTTTCGCGTAGGTGGGAAAATAAGAGTCTGAATATTTTGTTTTCTTCCTGATGTGCTATGAAAAGAGCTCTTGACTGGATTTAACTTGTTTCGAATTGCTTTCTACTTTCGTCATTTAAAGCTTCTTTATGAGAATAAAAATCGTTCACAGAACAGGTGAAACCACTTTATCCTCTCTCGGTAAGACACACTGAGGAGATAAGGCAAAAATATATTACAAATCTCGTTCTTTCGATCCGCGCATTATGTTCTGTTCCTCGGTTTCGCCTTTGTGACTGATGGCTCACGTGCTTTGCGCTCGGCCCATGAGTCAAGAATAGAAAATAACTCTTAGTATGGACCCCAGATACGGTTAGAAATAAGATGTATATTTTCTGCGACTTCATAGGGGTGATTTCACATCGCCGTGTAAATCTTTCACTCGCTTGCTCGAAACGGTTTCCTCCACGAACGTTCTGATACCAAAAACTCTAATACAGGAACGTTTTTGAGGAAACCATGGTAAGTGATCTCTCTCTTTGTGCTTTTATGTGGCGTATCATGCACCTCATGCGATATCCACGTCTTTGAGCGTAGGTAATTTGCAGATTTGTATGTAAACATAACTACGACCATGATTGCGTCGTGGTGTAGGTAAGTTAACCTTCTTGGCAAGAACCATTTTGCTTGATTTTCATTGGATATTGAAAGATCAGATTTGACACATCTGGTGCGCATCGCGGAGCCAAATTACAAATATATGAGAAGGCTGATTACTAGTCAAACTCCAGAAATTTGTTTTTCATACATCTAGAAATACCTCTTACTAACCGAGTTAGGTTACCGACTGAGTTTTTCTGCTTGAAGTTATAGCCCCTTCAAAGCAGGCCGCACTGTGAAATACGACCCACTAAATTGATCAATAATAGCGCACATACTGAATGAGGAATATGATAAATGTAATATACATTATCCACCAAAGAAGATTACATATAAGGGTCTTTTATCTTTTTTTCCCTAATCGTCCTTCACCATAACTTCACATAAACATCCTTCTTCAAACGTATGTCTTACCTTTCTGTGCCCCGCATAGCCTTTGTCCCGATACATACAGCGTAACAAATATCAATAACAGGACCAGCAAGACAGCCATGGTGAGCAAACAAGCGATCTTCCAGTGTGTAGCTCTTACCCACCCCCTGTTAGTCTTCTGTCGCTGTTCTTCATCAATAAACAATGGTTGCATTCTGAAACGTAACGAGATGTTTACCTTGGTTTTATTAAACGTACGCAATACCAAAAGGAAATATAACAAAAAAGGATTCCTGATCGCAGGTTGGTGAAAAATTTCGAGTTCTGTATGTAATTTTTGCATTTGAAAATGAAAGTATAAGTTAACATTTTTTTAACAAATTCCACTATTTGCCGTTTTTATATCCAAGAATCGAAACGACAATTACAAACGTCGTGCACCACTATCACAAAGAGTTTTAACCCTTCACTTCTGCCATAAGCAGATGTTAAATTGATCAAAATCCGAAATTCATAACTTGTTGACAGGCTTGGAGAATTGATACTATTTTCTTTAGTGCAGGGGGCGGCTGTTCACAGGCTAGGGTGTTGCCGTCGCTGATTTTTTCTTTTTTCTTCCAATCGAAAGTTGATGTGAAACGGAATTAGTTATTCTGTAGGCTGTGTTATAAAAGATTAACTTATCAAATTACCGACACTATGCGGCCAACAGCCCTTTATACTGACACGGCACTCGCCAGCTTTATATTGGTAATACAGAAGTTTGAGTCACGTATCACAGACAATCCAAGTTGGTTAAAATCTTCATTGGCAAGTCATTCCGCCAAAATCCTTTAATGCCGCTCATTGCATTCGAATAAAAAAGAGCTAGACAACCGAATGCGTTACTAACATACTGTTTTTGCGAATAGTTCCCCTATTAAGACAGTTTTTTCAGAGTTTCAAAAAACATAACTGTTGGGAATTAGATAATTGCCTGACAACACAATGTTTTTCCCGATAAACTCGCGCTAAAATCACCCACTCACGATAGAATTTTAAACAGATATATTTGTGTCTCACGATGTCCCGATTACGATTACAACACACTCTTCGATTTCTAGAACAAAAGATACAGCAAATTGTACAATGTGTTCTTTGATTGGCTTAAGTTACTAGCGATGACAGATTCAATGCCTATCCCTTTCCGGTCAACTAAACAATTCTATACGCATTAAAATGTTTTGATTACGTAAACACACGATTTCCGACATAACAAAACATAACATTTAAACATTTAACTGCGAATCAAGGACAGCAAAGCCAACTTAATTAAATATTTTGCAAATAACGCAAGGAAAATTCAAAACTAACCGGAGGTACTGGTTCCGGAGTGAAATGACAAAATAATTACAAGCTTTCAAGTGCAAGGTCAAGATTCAACCGTATATCTCGCGTTCAAAATGGAATTTATCCCCGAATTCTAGCTGCAGTGGTTACATATGTATTTCATCATCGAACCATTTCGACAAACCATACCGATATCACGTGATGAATTGGACCATGGCCCTGCATGGCATTGCAAGCGATTTAATCTTTTGCTTTGATAAAGAAAACATCTGGAGGAAATGATAAAAAGACTGGAAAGTGAGCACATTCTTTCCTTTTTTAGTTTTCGACGTGTCAAGCTACATGTTTTAACCTTAATACTATTGCTGTCTTTGATGTATGCAAAGATAATGGTGCTTTGATTAAATTCAAAATCATTGAAGTATCTTACTGAGAATCACAATCTTAGTAATTTCATCTGGTCGAAAGTTGATGTGAAACGGAATTAGTCATTCTAAAGATTGTGTTGTAAAAGATTAACGTATCAAATCACCGACACTGTGCGGCCAAGAGCCCTTTATACTGACACAGCACTCGCCAACTTTATATTGGTAATACAGACGTTTGAGTCACTTATCACAGACGATCCAAGTTGGCTAAAATTTTATTTTTATTGGCAAGTCATTCTGCCAAAAACTCTAATGCTTTTGATTATGTTTGATGACATAGAGCTAGACAACTGAATGCGATACTAACTTCCTGTTTTTGCGAATAGTTCCCTTATTACGCGTGTTGTTTTGGAGTTACGATGGAATCATACATAAAACTACTCCGAATTAAAACAGATGATATATACTTATGTACTATATAAAATTAAGGTTTTTTAGGGGGGGAACGCATATGACTGTTACACTAAACAGAAAAGCGAAATCTTTAGTCATTACCGCGAACTGCACCTGGCTCACCAAACTTTAACCGTCAATCAAGAACAGCAAAGCCAACGTAATTAAATATTTCGCAAATAACGCAAGGAATATTCAAAACTAACCTGAGTTACTGGTTCCGGAGTAAAAAGACAAAATAATTACAAGCTTTCACGCGCAAGGTCAAGATTCAACCGCTGATCTTTAGTTCAAAATGGAATTTATCCCCGAATTCTAGCTGCTGCAGTTGTTTATGTCTTTCATCATCGAACCATTTCGAGAAACCATACCGATATCACGTGATGAATTGGACCATTCCGGGAAAAAGTTGAATCACGTGCAGACATGAAACTGAATTGAATATCTCGTCATTTTTGTGTCTAGTGCGTAGCAACCAAGCACCTTGCAAAAGCTGTAGGAGATTGCGTGTCAACAAATTACGTTTGCCTTAACTGTTTTGTGAAGTTTACCGTACGTGACAAGCTACATGTTTTAACCTCCATACTATTGCTGTCTTTGATGTATGCAAAGATAATGGTGCTTTGTTGCGTGATTAAATTCAAAATCATTGAAGTATCTTACAGAGAATCACAATCTTAGTAATTTCATTTCTACAGCAAAAATTGAGCAAGTTATTTGTTATTTTATCCGAGGGAACTCAGCAAACAAGGCCAAAGAGGGAGTGAGCAATATCTTTATCATGCGTTCGGTAGTTTGCAATTTGCAACTTTACAAGTTTTTAACCAGTGAGAACAAGTATGATATTGAAAAACCGACACGAACATGAAAGGAGACGGTAAAACTGGCAAATTGTTTAAGGCACGAGAAAACACAAGTGTCTAAGGTAAGGATGATTTTAGTTTTACATCTCATCACTTGATAGGAAAACCAAATCAAGACATTTCCGAGTTGTTTTCCGCACTCAATTTTAAAATTGCATCGACCGAAAAAGATTGGTCTCAGCATTGGTAGGATGGTCAAGAAAAGATACGGGCACGCATCAGATTATCAAGCGGCGGCCGGCGGCGGAGCTGTCAAAATTTATCTTTAATGTAACATCCTTCTCAATGCTTACAAATCACGTCATGGATGTTTTCACTTCAGCACGATGGCTTAATTATCTTCACTGAGCCCTTGATGTGAGCTTTGAACTCGGCCACTGAAACATGATAAATGAATAAAGGGGTACGTTTCTAAAGAAACTGTGGTGCTGCGTCGGTGGGAGAGTATAGCAGGTAATTTAGTGTTAAGATTTGGGTTGAAAACGTAAATTAGCCGCCGTAAAGGGTAAAAAAGCTGACGTTTCGAGCGTTAGCCCTTAGTCGGAGCAAACAAAGGGCTAACGCTCGAAACGTCAGCTTTTTTATCCTTTACGGTGGCTAATTTACGTTTTCAACCCAGTTGTTAACACTAAATTACCCACTGAAACATGTTGCTCACTCCTGTCAGGCACGACTTTGACATGGGTGCGATTTCTCGGTCTTTTAGAACGTGATCCCAGATGTTGACACCTGTCATTTCACCGATGAAAGATTGATTGGCATAAAAACTTCCTCCCTTTTAGTCTTGCTACTGCCCTAGTACCAGGGCTCCATTTGCACGAATCACGTAACCTAAGGGGACATTAACAAGAAATTAAGGAAAAAGATAAATTCACCAGTTAAAAAAGATTCAACTATATCTTTTGCTTTGATTAAGAAAACATCTGGAGGAAATGATAAAAAGACTGGAAAGTGAGTACATTCTTTCCTTTTTTTCAGTTTTCTTAATCAATAATTTACCGAATAAGTGAGTCATTTCGCTCTGTTTCTTCCAACTTCCGCATTACTTTTTGGGAACTACGCACTTTATCCTTAAGTGACTAACATGACGTACATTGTGACATTTAAGTGATAAATTTCATAATCGGTTATCAAGTAATTTTACCATCACAGTTACGTGCATTTTTGTCAAGGTTTTTGCATGTTTTTCAAATATTTCTTTTTTGGCATCAGTGATCATTACCTCGTCAGAGTTTGTCTGATATATTTTCCTTGTTTTGCGCATTTCTCGGTTTCTCGAGTATCCTTAGTCTTTTTCGCCTTTTCAGCTTCTTAGGGTGGTTTTTCTCAGCGTTACTTGCAAATCACATATAGAGCCCACAGGAGGGAATTTTTCAGTAGTCGTTTTTTCTCCTCACAAGGCAGTTTACTTCACAACGCAAGTATTTGTGGTTAGTGTCCGTGATAATTTTACGCAGTTTCCTCTCAGGGAGATTCCTTCACAGTGTCCGTTAAAATGTAAATGCAAACCGGGTTTTTCTGAATGAAAATCAGAAACAGAGAACAGAAAAACTGAATTTACCATAGGTTTCACGTAGTTGACAACATTCAACAGTCAACAGAAAATATTGGTTTAAAGAAAACAACCTTTTACCTGACCGTGTTTCGTGAAACAGCTTTAAAACATGTTTAAGCTTTTTTTTGTATGGAATATGTCTATCTGCGTCTATCTATAACTACTTTTAAATCTACGTGTACTTCGTACTTCTTTTATTCAAAGCAATCTTCGAATTTTGTGGAATCCTGGCGGTTTTGTCATTTCGGCCGCCTCGTATTAGCAGTTACGCACACTAAACATTTAATGCTATTGTACGGACCATTACTAAAAGAAGAATTTACCTGTTTGGAGATTTTTACCAGAAGCGGCAACCGAACCATCTCGAAACAATTTCCATGATCCAGCGGTATTCTCCCATGTGAGGCAGATATGATGCCACTTTCCATCATTGGCGGATACAGAAGTATGACCACTAAAATTAGCAGCAAAACGCGACAAGTATACTTTGAGTATCTTAAAGCTTATAGCAAAATTAAATCAAAACAACTATTGTGATTAATAACAGGACAAAACTTCAGATGAAATACTCAAACCTCCTATGGTTAATAATAATAATAATAATAAACTTTATTTACGTGTCATATAAGATAGCAGTTTCCCACTAAGTAAGGACACCTAAACTAAACTAATCTAATCTATATAAAACTATGCATTGTTAATTTATTTGAATATGATAAAAGAGCTCTTCCCATATAAAACTACCCTACCCCGAAATAGTAGACCCCATGTTTATAATACCCTACCCTGTATAATAAGATAATAACCTTAATATAATGAGATAATAAGATAATAATAATTACAATAATATGATCTTGATCATATTTAAAATATTTAAGATTTACATAAAATACAGTTCTTGCAATTATTCGAAGAGATTAAACTTTGTATATCTACTTTATGTAAAGCGTTTTTAAATTCTTGCAGCGTTCTTAGTGCTCTTATTTTTCCATCTAACTTAGACCAGATTACTGGACCTAAGTACCTAAGAGAGTGCTTACCATAGCGCGTAGTACTAACTCTAGGGATAATGAAATCATTGTTTCTTAAATTATATTTGTTGTTATTAATAACAGATCATTTTTAACTTTAAACATTGACACAGCTATGTCATGTAATCGCCTATTACGTAAGGTTTTTAAATTAGCCCTCTTAAGGAGGTCGCTATATGATGATATGCTATCACAATAAACAGCTTTAAGGGCCCGTTCTTGTACCCTCTCTAATTTTCTAGAATCACTAGCTTTGCAACAATTCCATAAAATACTACAGTAAGTTAAATAAGGCAGAATAGCAGCCTTAAAAAGTTGTAATTTAGCCTTGGCTGGGATTAACTTCCTTAATCTATTAATTACACCCACCCTTTGACTGCTTTTTTTACAGATGTTACTTATGTGATCAGAAAAATTTAAATTATCACCAATATTTACACCCAATAAAATAATAGAATTATATGATTTAATGGCTGTTCCGTTAACATTTAGCTCTAACTGTTCATCATTTAGTCTACCTCCTTTCAATATCATTGATCCATATTTATCAAAGTTCCCTTTGAGAAAGTTCGTATCGTACCAATTTGTAGCTCTTTGTGCAGTATCCTGTAGTTTTGTTTGTATAGTATTGATATCCTTGTTGATTTCGTAGAACTGATGGTCATCAGCATACATCCCAATTTTTGAAGGAATTCCGAACGTCAAGTCATTTTGGAAAAGATTCCATAAAAGAGGTCCAAACGAATTGGATGGTTGTTGATGAAAACGTCAAAATTTCTATAGTCAACCAGGAGAAGTTCGTTGCTTCCTCCAGATACAGCATAGCTCAGGAGTGTTCCTTCATTTCCAGTATCAGCGGTTTTCATCCACAGACAAACCCTCACAGCCGACAAGTTTGGCATACTACGTGTGATGATGACCTAATCACTGGTTCCTTTTCGCGGAAATTCCAGAGCGTATCCTGCAACTGAAGAATTACTCAGTTTTTTTATTTGTCAACGCTGCTTTCGAAACCTCTTTGAAAAAAGTCCTGCTCACGTCTTTAGCTTTAATTTTTTCTAGCGCAACTACTGATTTGATACAGTTCACTAGGGTAGCTCAGTTACAAAAGGTTATAGTTCTATAGATTACTGTTAACAGTTTTCAAGAGAACTGTCACCTTATACCTTTTTCAAACCGATGGTCAAGCGAGTGTCTGATTACGACAACAGCTTTCCAAGAAATGTTGTTGTTTTTTTGGTATGAGCATAATATGCAACCCCAATGTGACGGTCTAATCTAACCGACAGAAAAACACTGCAATCCTACAAACTCAACTTCTTCGTTACACAAAGAGTACAGAGTATCTCCTAAAGACAGTACAATACTTATCGTTAAAAAACTTAATTAAGCCCACTAAAGTCTGCATCTTAGGTCACCACTAACCCAAACTCACGGTTTTCCCCAACGTTTCTTGAAATTAGCAATCTTCCTCTGTAGCTCTCTCTCATGATGTAGCCTTCCAAAGAGTCATCACTCCGACGACATCAACAACAACTAACTCTACTACTCAATATAGTTACATCCATAAAACGTTCTGGAATATTCCAGAAGCTCACAAAAGAACTATTTTAGTAGTACTACATGATAACTCCGTGACTTGATGAAATGTTCCAGAAAGTTCTATGATACGCATGTCAGTATCTGGAGATTTCTAGAAGCTTACATTTACAACAACAATTACTCATAAAACAACAAACAAAATTCTGTTTCAAGCGTGAAAAGCTTAGTATCACCACCCAATTCGCCGCTGAAAGAAGCGGAAAAATTTTTCTCGATGCTCAAATAATTAGTTATGAGCGCTGTACAACTTACTAAGTTATTTGTCGCGCCAGCAATTAATATTCAAGTAACAGAGGACAAATTTTCCTGACTGATAGATCGATACATGTAAATACAAAGACGCATGGATCTAAAAATGTCAAGAGAATAGATTAATAAAGAAAGTAATAAATCTCTTGAGAAAGTTTGTTAAGTTTCCCGTCTCTGATTGTACCATGATTATTTTAACATCACAATAGTTGATAGGCTAGCTAGGGTGATGCGAGTTTCCATAGGAAGGTAAAGCAAAATCAAGCAATCCTACATTGCTTACAACAAGAAAGTGAAAATTGTTTTAAAGATGCATACCTTTCATAGCCAATGCCTTTATCGTTTCAGATGTGTTCTTAAATTGAAAAGAGAGCTCTTCGATTGACTTAATCACGACATCCAGTTTCCTTACGACACTTTTGTTAAACGAGTGAGGACTTGTGTACCACGCCTCGAATGTTTTGTTTATTAGAGCCAGTCTTCCTGAAGAGATTAAAAGACATAAACAACGATCTTTTAATAATAAATGTGTGGGACAAAAAACATATTGATTCATGGTGTGATTTCGAAATGTCAAAAAAGGAAGTTTTTCAAACAAATTTCGATTCTCACGGAATCAAAATGAATTTCATAATGAGATTACCGCTGTTTCCAAGTATCATTTCCAAGTTACAATGCCCTAGCTACGTGATTGTAATTTCACATAATTTACAAAGTGGTATTGAAGGTTATCGACGGAAGGAAAAGATATCTGGGACTTTCCATGAACTGAGATTTTGAAACGCAAGTATATTTAAATGAAATTAAATCAAACTGTCAAATAAACCTTTTACACTTTTAAAAGTCTACTTTCAGAAAACAATACTGAATTTCTCGGGAGGTTCCCCGTGTGTGTTGATAGAAGGTTTGTGTGGAGTACATTCGAAGAAATGCAGCCAAAGATCACCGAGTCATTCGCAAGCAAAGGTTAGATGCGATCGGATTGTGTTACATTACTTCCTTGAACATGCGTTAGATGCGTACTTTCCACTTGCCTATTGGTAAAATTTTGCTCTTGAAATTGGCGTTTCACATCGTTTTTATATGACCTCTTTTCTGTGAAACCTGTCTTACGCGGCCACCCCCAGCCATTCTTCGTGGGTGACCACCTAATACAGGTTTAACTGTGTAGGAAATTGATGTCATAAGGGAGGATTGGTGACTCAACGTCAACAGCCACAAGTGGGAGGAATGTTCATCATTGGGTCAGACTTGTTTTTCATCCCTTTGGTTGAGAGAGAGGCCCAAGTTTCCTTCATAGACCAATTACAAACCGCATTAAAGCAAAAGCAATCCAACCCAAGTTGAAAATCAATGTAAATATGCATACCTTTCATTTCCAAAGTAGTCGTCCTTTCAGACATGTTCATAACATTCATGTTTACTAAATCCAGTTTTCTTTCCACATTTGTGTCCAGGAAGTCGAAGTGTTTGGACAAAGCTTCAATGGCTTTGAACATTGATTCCTGGTTATCTGTAGATCATCGCAACAAAAAAAAGAGCTAAAATGGCTGATTACACACGTAGGTTGTACAAAGAAAAATTGTGAAATTCAACCATCAAACCTTTTAGAAAAGGCTTCCGATGGTTTTGTTCACTGTCTTCAGTTTCTTCAAAGACATTAAGTTGAGTAATTAAAACAAGAGTGGAAATGCACACGTTTATACACGACTCAATGCATACCTTGCATTTCCAAAGCAGTTGTCCTCTGAGATGTGTTCTTAACACGGACATTTACTAAATCTAGTGTTCTTCCGATATTTACGTCCAATGAGTCAAGACGTTTGGACAATGCTTCAAAGGCTTTGTACATTGAGTCCATCTATGAGATATATGAGAAGGCTGATTACCAGTCAAACTCCAGGAATTTGTTTTCCATACATCTAGAAATGCCTCTTACTACCCGAGTTAAGTTACGGACCGAGTTTTTCTGCTTGGAGCTATAACCCCTTCGAAGCAGGCCGCACAGTGAAATACGACCCGCTAAATTGATCAATAATAGCGCACATACTGAATGAGGAATATGATAAATGTAATATATATTATCCACGAAAGAAGATTGCATGTAAGGATCTTTTATCTTTTTTTCCCTAATCGTCTTTCACCATAACTGCACATAAACATCCTTCTTCAAACCTATGTCTTACCTTTCTGTGCCCCGCATAGCCTTTTCCTGATACATAAAGCGTAATAACTATCAATAACAGGACCAGCAAGACAGCCATGGTGAGCAAACAAGCGATTTTCCAGTGTGCAGCTGTTACCCACCCCCTGATAGTCTTCTGTCGCTGTTCTTCATCAATACACAATGGCTGCATTCTGTAACGTAACGTACAAAAATATTGTATAGTTTGTATTTTCCTTTCGTTTTAACTTTCAGATCCTTTGAAGTCGTCCAATCTTAACTTCATTTTATAAGCCTTTTATTGGAACGCCCCTAAAATGTGCGAAAAGTCGTCGCAAATCGTACCTAAATTGTATCTATCTTTGTTTTATAGAACTAAATATTTTATGGAAATTCACGTGTTGAAATCTGTGCGATTTATTCATAAAAATGGGGTGACCGCCTAATAAAGGTGAAAATGACACCAAGGGGCAAACAAAACCATCGGGACTTTGAAAACCGACCACTTAATACAAGGTGACCGCTTAATACGGCGCTGCTTAAAACAGTTCGATTGTCCGTTTTTGTAAGTTATCCACCAACAAGCAGAACTCTTATTGCGGTGGTTCCCTGTACAACTGCTTTTACTTAAATCTGACATCTGTAATTCATAACCTTATGATTATCTGCTGAGCCAGAGGTAAAAGAGGGAGGCTTAAAATGAGTTATCACAGGCTATATTCACAAACTGTTTTATCGTTCAAATCCAACTACAATTAAGATAGAACTATAAAAGCTGTGTCTTTTGCTTCACACCAGTCAGAAAGAAACGAACAGGATTGCTAAGCGGGATATAATTGTGTGATAATAATTTTTTTTCTTCTCAGTTCGTGATCGGGCGGTATTCTACAAATCCTGCAATCTGATTGGTTCCGAGAGCGGGCAGTATTCCCTATCCGGCCCGCTCACAACGGGCGGTTCTTTTCGCAACCATTTGTTAGGTTTTAGAAAATAATAAAAATGTTATTTACCAGCCAAGGTCGGTCCGTATTGAGAAAAACTGTGCCCTCTGTCTTGTGTACCGCCTTTGGCCTATGGCCTCGGACGGTATCCAAGACCTCGGTTACAGTTTTTCCCAATACGGACCTCCCGTCTGGTGAATAAAATATATATCGAACACACCACAAAAATCGTAATAGAATATTTAAATTTACTGTTTATGCTTTATAGAGAGAAGTTAATAAAGGTTTATCACATCGCGTGATGAAGGCTGTTTCTTCGATTCGCTTTAGAAGTGACTACATCATGAGGGCATGATTAGTTGCGAAAGGTTTTACGATGAGACAAACAGTGGTGGTTATAGTTTACTGGAAAGCTAAGGACAAAGGGCGAGAATGGTTCCCAGGCAAAAGAATATGGTGCTTTTTAGGAACTGCTCGATATTATTGTCTTCAGCTTTGAAAACTATGGAGATACTGGTTCGGTGAGATCACCGGCTCAAAATTCATTCGGGTAACTTGTGTCCGTGATGAAAGAATGAAAAACATGTCCACGTCTGCTTCTGTATGGCCGTGGGCGGGCATTATTAATACCACAAAAAAAAGGGGACACGTACACCAAGATATATTGATGTTTTCAAAAAACAGGAAAAATGAATAAAAACGTGATTGAAAATATTTCTATAATAGTGGTTTCATGGCCTGTTTAATACTGAAAATACAGGTTGTTAGCGATTTTATCTTACGAGTCGCGACCCGTGACCCGCGACTACTAACCAAACCCACGACACGTCATTGGTGATAGCAAGAAACACATGGACTCTTCGAAAACAACATCTCTCTTGGTTTGGACTAGGATATTAGTTGAGAGAGAAACGAAAAACAGACAGGCTAAAAATGGCAAGCAACT